CGTACAATCAAAGAGTTTTCTGAACTCCACCAACAATAGAATTGGGCCAAACTTGACAAACGGAACCCCCTTGACCAACAGAAAATACTGTGTTTTCTGATGGTCTTCAGTGACCCCTCTGACATCCCCTCGTGACCCCCCCAGGGGTCCCGACCCCCAGGTTGAGAAACGCTGTTCTAGAGGCACTCTCTCCTGATCTCACAACCTCTGAGGATGCTTGCCATAGATGCAGGTGAAACGTCAGGAGAGAATGCCTCTAGAACATGGCCATAGAGCCCAAAAAACATACAACAACCCAGATTTCACTTCTGCAAGACCATGGGTTCAAGTGCCTGGCATGACAAATCTCCAAAAACCAAATAAGAAATGGGCAAGTTGAAGATAAGGGAACAGAGGCATTTATTCACCTTGACCAAAGTGGGTACCAGCAGAGTCTGCGCTTCAAAGACTGACATAAAAGCAATTCAAACATACAGATTTATTTTTAGCACTTTGACAGAGCTTTGAAACAAAGGATTTTGTTTTGGTGATTTGGATTGGGAAGTGCTCCCAGGGATAAGGCTTGATGGTATCTTTGGAAACACCCCACAGTTCTTTTTAAAGCCACTGTGAAGCTCCTGGGTTATTGTGCAAGGGTGATGTTTCTTCCTGGTCCAAATGATGGGATATGGGATTTATCAAATAAACATTCCCTGGTGTGTGTGCTTGTGCAACTTTGGCAAGTTCATTTGGAAGTCACCTGAAACTGGGGAAAAGGTCATTTGCGTGCGCTTAGAGCAAAGGTTTTGGGGTATGTTTTGGCATTCTGGTGTTTTGATCATATATTTAACTCATTGCCGTCTTGATGAAACTCTGATATTGGTTTGATACACAGTTCCCAGTTTTTATCTGTGATATGTTGGAGGGTATGCAAGTGCTCTCCAATGACCTCAACAGGGATTTAGGAGGCATGATAGCGACAATAAGGCACTATTATTATTCAATTATATCCATAAACCACTCTTCAACCAAGATTACTCCAATATACGTAGTTTACGGCAAGTGGTAGATTGTTATAGGTGGAAAGGGTACAAAGTCCTTGCCTCTCAATTCTGCCAAATAGGTCAACAATATTATTAACTAGCTTCTGCAAATAAATGACATACCCTTGTACTTAAAAAAAAAAACATACAATTCCCAGCAGAAACTATTTTTACCTTCCAGTATTTCAGTTCCAGTAGAAACCACAACTACCTCTGTTCTTCTCCCAGTATCTCACTCCACCTCTTTTCTGTTTCCAGTCCTGTTTTCTAATGCTACTATTCAGCGCATCTACATTGTAGGGATTAATGCAGTTTGACACAACTTTAACTGACCCAATGCTATAGAATCCAGTGATTTGTAGTTTGGTGAGGCACAATTTCTCTTATACAAAGAAAGCTAAAACTACAAATCCCCTTGCTCCATAGCATTGAGCAGTTAAAGTAGTGTCAAACTGCATTAGCTCTGTGGTGTGGATGCACCTGTTTGTTCATCTGTGTTTGCTCAACCATTCATCCCAAGAGACTCTACCCACCCATTCAAAATCTTTGTAAAGGAGAGAAGCACAGTTCACTGACTATACGACCAAAGAAAACATTTCAACTTTGCTCCCTTTCTTTGGTGCTGATTGAACAAATTCCACACATTTCAAGCTTCGCTGATATAATTCCAAAGAAAGAAAGGGCAGAAATAACACGAGTCCTGCAGTCTGCAATAGCTGATGGTTTAAGAGCAGAAAGCGAGCTGTCAGACCAAAGGTCTGTCTCACTCAACGTCCCGGTCTTTGCGCTCCCTCTTTGCAGCCACCCTCTTGTCACTGCAACATGCACAGCAGAGCATGCCATCACAACATGAAATGCCGCATGAACCAGCATTGGAAGCATGTGATAGTCCTCCTCTGCAATTAAAGCCAAATATCTGAAATGATTAAAGTAACTAAATATTACAATTGCACCATATAAAAGGGGATTTATTCTGTAAATTACATCCCTAAAGTTCCCTAGGAATAGTGTCATTATTGCAAATGGAATTAACTGTGTGCAACAGGTGGCAATTATTACTATAGTTCTAGAATGATGACGACTATTTCAAGAACTGGACATGGACATGGATAGAGTTGGTAGGGTTGGGTCTACAATGCAGTTTGACACCCCTTTAACTGCCATGGCTCAATGCTATGGACTTGTGGGCACTGTGGGTTCGATGCCGAAATTTTGACCTTTTCCAAGGACCCATGGATACTGAGGGAAGACTGGTGAGCTTTGCTAACCACAAATGTTCTGTGTCAAAAATGAGAAATCTCACCAGGGTGAAGGCAAATGATAGAAATTTTATTCAATCTGCAGAAGGGACACTTGTACAACAGCAGGTGCTCAAAGGGTACAAGCATAAAACACAAGGAAAAAGCAGGCAACTTTATACATAAGAGTTTCTGTTCATTAACATTGCTACGGTTCAAAATCCCCACCTATTCCCGATTGGCCAGAAAGCGGGATGGCATTTCCCAGGCCTCTGACTGATTGGGAGGCAGGCCTTAGCTGATGCGTGCGCTGGTTGGTGGAGGTGTGATGGTATGGCCAGGGATCCCCTTCCAATTGGGAGGGGAAAACGTGGAGCTTCCAATGGGAATACAGTGATTGTTCCTGGGGAAGAAAGTACTCCCAGGGCTGTGCTCACCCTCGAGTGTATGGCCACTGTATGCAACGAACAATGTGTATCCAAAAAACTCAATGATCAGTTTATGCAGTTACTGGATCCACAATCCAGGAACAAGGTGTGTTGTAAGGCCCAGATATCTTCCCATGCAGAGAGACAAAGAGAGGATCCAAACAAAGAGAGGATCCAAATAGGATCTGATGACCTATTGGAGGTCATCAGAGTCCTTCCTTGGGTCTTTGTTCAGTGGGTGACTTGGACTCCTAGAGGGAATCATAAAATCATAGAGTTGGAAGAGTCCTCATGGGTCATCCAGTCCAACCCCATTCTGCCAAGAAGCAGGAAATTTGCATTCAAAGCACCACTGACAGATGACCACCCAGCCTCTGTTCAAAAGCCTCCAAAGAAGGAGCCTCCACCACTCCATAGCAGAGAATTCCACTGCTGAACAGCTCTCACAATCAGGAAGTTCTTCCTAATGTTCAGATGTAATCTTCTATCTTCAGGGGACAAGTTAGTGACCTCCTGCTGTCGGTCAGGAAAGACTTTATGGTCTTTCCTGACCAACAGATTATGGTCTTTTTCATGTCTTCTGTACAGGGTGTGAAAATAATTCCTGGAATGGCTCAAGAGGTTACTACAGTTCATTCTGGTCTGCTTTCTATTTCATATTATTCAATAAAGTAATAAAATAAGATAAAAATAGAGTTAAAGTGATGCCTTAGTATAGGTTCATAGGTGGAAATAAAGGTGAGGGAAGAGGAGCTTCAACTTGGCTGCATGTAGGAGTTGGGCTTTATGGAGTTAGCAGGGGAGGTTGCTGCTGGTCTGCGGATGGCTGAGGGAGACCAGCGGGATGGATACCAACATGTTCCATTCTGGCCCTCAGTCCTTGGGAAACTACAATTCTGCTCATGGTAGGACTATGTTCCCCTTTTGATTAGAGGTTGGTTGTGTCTTACAAAGCCTTTAGCCCTCTCAGCTGAAGAGTGCTAGTACTTCACCAAACTACATCTCCCAGGATTCCATAGCACTGAAGGCCCTTCCACACAGCCCTATATCCCAGAATATCAAGGCAGAAAATCCCACGTTATCTGAGTGTGGACTCAGATAACCCAGTTCAAAGCAGATATTGTGGGATGTTCTGCCTTGATATTCTGGGATATAGGGCTGTGTGGAATTTCCCTGAGCAATGGAAGTTGAAGTGATGTCAACATGCATTAGTTCCAAAGTGTAGATGCACTCTTGGTCCCTTTCCACACAGCAGATTAAAATCCTACATTATCTGCTTTAAACTGGAATATTAATTATTATTATTATTAAACTTTATTTGTACCCCGCTAGCATCTCCCAAAGGATTCGATGCGGCTTACACAGGCCAAGGCCTCAACAACACAACATAACAATACAATCAGCAAATCAAACAATTAAAAACAAAATAAAGCAAAGTAAGCAACAGGCACAATACATTAAAACACAATAAAACTGGGCCGGGCCAAAAGGTGGGTACAAGAATTAAAAGTGCTGATTTGACAGGAGGTGTATAAGGGTTTCTAGGGCAAGTGCGATGTGCAGTGTGCAGCAATCATTGGTTCTGGTAAAGTGTTTGTGGGACTCAGTAGTGGAGATTTCCTAATCTGGGAAGGCGCATCGGAAAAGCCAGGTTTTTAAGTTCTTTCTGAAGACAGCCAATGTAGGGGCCTGTCTAAGGTCTTTGGGGAGGGTGTTCCAGAGTCGGGGGGCCACCACGGAAAAGGCCCTGTCCCGCATCCCCACCAAGCGCGCTTGCGACGCCGGTGGGATCACGAGCAGGGCCTCTCCAGATGACCGAAGTGAATGTGTGGGTTCGTAGATGGAGATGCGGTCACGCAGGTAGGCTGGTCCCAAACCGTTCAGGGCTTTGTAGGTAAGCACCTGCACCTTAAATTGGGCTCGGAAGATAAACGGCAGCCAGTGGAGCTCCTTGAACAGGAGGGTTGACCTCTCTCTGTAAGGGCCCCAGTTAACATCCTGGCTGCTGATCGTTGGACCAGTTGGAGCTTCCGAGCCGTCTTCAAGGGCAGCCCCACGTAGAGCGCATTGCAGTAGTCCAATCTGGAGGTGACCAAGGCATGGACCATTCCGGCCAGATCCGCCTTCGCGAGGTACGGTCGCAGTTGGCGCACGAGTCTTATATATGGCAGTGAAGACTCCATAGCCATTAGGTCACAGCAGTGGAAGTGGAGGCTGCATATACCAAGAAAGAGGCCAGCTGCGGGCGTTCTGCGCATGTCCGTCTGTGTTGGCTCTCTCTCTCGCTGGCGCGCGCTGAGTCCCACGCGATTGGCCCCCGCTTTTTCTCCCCTCAAACAGCAAGGAGCAGGGCGCATGCGCGGCGAGGCTCCCTGAGGAGGAGGAGGAGGGAGGGAGGCTGAGTGGCCAAAAGGCTGAAGGAGGTCGAGAGAGAGGGAGAGAAAGAAAGGAAGAAAGGAAGGAAGAAGCGGCGGGATGGAGCCTCGCTCGACAGACTGACCCACCAAAGGAAGGAAGGAAGGCCCCCTTTCCCCTCCTCAGGGCCCTCGCTGCTGGAGCTGTGGGTTGTGACTCCCCCCCTCGGGCCCCCTCTCTCCCCCTCCCCTCAGGTAAATATCTCTGTGGCGCCCCCCATCTCTGCTCCATTCCCCCTTTCATTGAGAGCCTGTCCCCTCAGCCCCCCCTGGGGCCTCACCCTGGCATCCCACACCTTCATTGTTGCTGCTCCTTTGGAGTCCATTTCCAGCCCCACTTCTGCCCCCTTTTGTCCCCAGCTTCTCCCACTTTCCAGGCTCCATCCAGAAGTTGCCTCACTAATCTCCTTTCCCAGCTCCTTTAATAGCCTTTCTATTAGTTTGTCTTTCCTCTCAGCCTCATTTGTGGTCTAGCTTTCTTGCCCCACACATCCAACCCCCATTGCTCCTTCATCCATTCCAGTTTCTCTCCTCTTTCAATCACTTTCATCCACAGCTTCTCCCAGTCAACTTCCCACCTATCTCTATCTCCCACCAGTCTCTATCTCCACCCCCTTTTTGTACCCCTAACCCAACTCCAAAACCCTAACTGCTCCTTCTTTTCAGTCCATTTTCTGACCTCTTCAGTCTCTTATCCCTAGCTTTTCTCACTTTCCAGACCCCATGCAGTAGTTTCCTCATTAATCTCCTTTTCCAGCTCCTTTAATAGCCTTTCTATTAGTTTATCTTTTCTCTCTGCCCCACACATCCAAGACCCATTGCTCCTTCATCCCTTCACTCCATTTTCTCTCCTCTTTCAATCACTTTCATCCACAGCTTCTCCCAGTCGACTTCCCACCAGTCTCTATCTTTTTGTACCCCTAACCTAATTCCAAAACTCATATCACTCCCCTTCAGTGTTCCCTTCATTCTAGTTTATCTCCCCCTTCAACCTCATTGATCATAGCTTCTCCCAGTCTCTATCTCCACCCCCTTTTTGTACCCCTAACCCAACTCCAAAACTCATATCACTCCCCTTCAATCTTCCCTTCACCCTAGTTTACCTCCTCCTTCAATCTCTTTCATCCACAGCTTCTCCCAATCAACTTCCCACCAATATCTATCTCTATCTCCCACCAATCTCTATCTCCACCCCCCTTTTTTATCACTCCCCTTCAATCTTCCCTTCACCCTAGTTTACCTCCTCCTTCAATCTCTTTCATCCACAGCTTCTCCCAGTCAACTTCCCACCAATATCTATCTCTATCTCCCACCAATCTCTATCTCCACCCCCCTTTTTGTACCCCTAACCTAACTCCAAAACTCATATCACTCCCTCTCAGTCTTCCCTTCACTCTAGTTTATCTCCTCCTTCAACCTCATAGCTTCTCCCAGTTGACTTCCCACCAATCTCTATCTCCACCCCCTTTTTGTACCCCTAACCCAACTCCAAAACTCATATCACTCCCTTTCAGTCGTCCCTTCACGCTAGTTTATCTCCTCCTCTAACCTCATTGATCATAGCTTCTCCCAGTTGACTTCCCACCAATCTCTATCTCCACCCCCCTTTTTGTACCCCTAACCCAACTCCAAAACTCATATAACTCCCCTTCAGTGTTCCCTTCACTCTAATTTATCTCCTCCTTCAACGTCATTGATCATAGCTTCTCCCAGTCAATTTCCCACCAATCTCTATCTCCACCCCCTTTTTGTACCCCTAACCTAACTCCAAAACTCATATCACTCCCCTTCAGTCGTCCCTTCACTCTAGTTTATCTCCCCCTTCAACCTCATTGATCATAGCTTCTCCCAGTCTCTATCTCCACCCCCTTTTTTGTACCCCTAACCTAACTCCAAAACCCTAACTGCTCCTTCTTTTCAGTCCATTTTCTGACCCCTTCAGTCACTTATCCCTAGCTTCTCTCACTTTCCAGACTCCATGCAGTAGTTGCCCCACTAATCTCCTTTCCCCCCCTCCAGTTTCTTCCTTTCTTTCAATCACTTTCATCCACAGCTTCTCCCAGTCAATTTCCCACCAATCTCTATCTCCATCTCCCTTTTTGCACCCCTAACGTAACCTCCAAAACTCTCATTTGCTCCCCTTCAGTCTTCCCTTTGCTCCAGTTTCTCTCCTCTTTCAATCTCTGATCCCCAGCTTCTCCCAGTCAACTTCCCACCAATCTCTATCTCCAGTCCCCCTTTTTGCAGCCCTAACCTAATCTCTTTATCCACCCCCTTTTTGCACTCTTAACCTAACCTCCAAAACTCTCATTTGCTCCCCTTCAGTCTTCCCTTTGCTCCAGTTTCTCTCCTCTTTCAATCTCTTTGATCCCCAGTTTCTCCCAGTCAACTTCCCACCAATCTCTATCTCCAGCCCCCTTTTTTGCATCTCTAACTTAACCTCCAAAACTCATTTGCTCCCCTTCAGTCTTCCCTTCACTCCAGTTTCTCACCTCTTCAATCTCTTTGATCCTCAGCTTCTCCCAATTGACTTTCCTCCAATCTTTTTCCCCCCCCCCCCTTTTTGCACCCTTAACCTACCCTCCAAAACTCTCATTGCTCCCCTTCAGTCTTCCCTTCACTCCGGTTTCTCTCCTCTTTCAATCTCTTTGATCCTCAGCTTCTCCCAGTCAACTTCCCACCAATCTCTATCTCCAGTCCCCCTTTTTGCACCTCTAACTTAACCTCCAAAACTCATTTGCTCCCCTTCAGTCTTCCCTTCACTCCGGTTTCTCTCCTCTTTCAATCTCTTTGATCCTCAGCTTCTCCCAGTCAACTTCCCACCAATCTCAATCTCCACCCCTCTTTTTGCACCACCTACCCTCCAAAAACCCCCATTGCTGTTTCTTCCCTTCAATCCATTTTCTGCCCCACTTGAGATCCTTTTATCTCTCACTTTCAATCTCTTTGATCCTCAGCTTTTCCCAGTCTTCCCACCAATCTCTTCATCCACCCCCTTTTTGCACCCTTAACCTAACCTCCAAAACTCATTTGCTCCCCTTCAGTCTTCCCTTCACTCCGGTTTCTCTCCTCTTTCAATCTCTTTGATCTTCAGCTTCTCCCAGTCAACTTCCCACCAATCTCTATCTCCAGTCCCCCTTTTTGCACCTCTAACTTAACCTCCAAAACTCATTGCTCCCCTTCAGTCCCGTTTCTCTCCTCCTTAAATCTTTTATCCTCAGCTTCTCCCAGTTGACTTTCCACCAATCTTTTTCTCCACCCCCCTTTTTGCACCCCTAACCTAACCTCTAAAACCCATTGCTCCCCTTCAGTCTCTTCTTCACTCCAGTTTCTCTCTTCTTTCAACCTCTTTGATCTTCAGCTTCTCCCACGTTTCAGTCAACTTCCCACCAATCTACTTTTGCACCCTTTTTCTCTTCTGTCTTTCCAGATTTCTGTCACTTTCCTGTTGAAACAAGCCCCCGCCCAAAAAAAAAATCCCCAAGAAAAAAAAGGTTCCCCATGCTGTTTGCTTTGAGGAAGTGGAACTCATGACTTCTGTCCCGCCTCCTCTTTAGGAATATAAATAAATTAAAAAATCAGATTGCTCCTTAACGTTCTTCCAAATCTCTTCCTGGGTGTGACACTGCTTTGCTGTTTCCTCTTCTCCCTGACTCCCCCCTCTTTTTCTCTTTCCCCGCCTTCCACCCAAAATTAACCCACATTTTAGATATACTGTGCTTGGTCGGGTTGTCTCCTGGTAGAGAGGCCTTTCAGCATGTCCCAGCTCTGTCGCCTGGTCGCTTACCTGCAGGATCCAGAGAAAGTTGCCACTTTCCAGCGGCTCTGCGGCGTGGAAGCACCTCCAAGCTGGGGCCCTGGCTTCTCGGCCCATGGGGAGGCATCGGAGATCCTGGTGGGCAATGGCAGCTGTCCCACTGGCCAGGCAGAGGGCGAAGGGGCTGACCGGCACCGGTTCCCAGGGGCCTCCAAGGTGGACGAGAAGGGCGAGGGGTGTCACTTGAATGGCATGAAGAATGGGGTGTTGTCTGGGGAAGCCTGTGCTGTGGAATCTCAGCAAGAAACGACAAAGAAAGAAAAGCAGAAGGGCTGGGTTTTCAAGCGGCAGCCTCGGCGCAACTCTCTCACTGGAGAATCGGTATGCCAGGACTTCTCAATCCACAGCCCCCTTCTTTATTACCTGTTCAGCCTGGGTACTGAGCTGGGCAATGAACTCTTCTACATCCTCTTCTTCCCCTTCTGTATCTGGAATCTGGATGCTTGGCTGGGCAGGAGGCTTATCATCATTTGGGTTTGGGTCATGTACGTGGGCCAATGTACCAAAGATGTTATCCATTGGCCAAGACCTGCTTCCCCACCGGTGGTGAAACTGGAGATTTTCTACAACTCGGAGTACAGCATGCCCTCTACTCACGCCATGTCGGGCACTGCCATACCCTTGGCACTTCTTTTGTTCAGCTATGGACGGTGGCAGGTAAGGACGGTGCTTTTCTATTTTAAGATGTCTAGTCAAAGTTGCTATATTATTGGTAATATAGTTTGATGGAAATGAATTATTCCAAAAATGCATGAACAATTGGAGAGGGAAAACTCCTTTCCTACCAGATTGTTATGTAGTCATACATATGCTGACAACCTGCTTTTAAAAAATGTGGACTTACCTTCAGAAATGTTTCTTCTTGCACTTCTGTTTATACATTCTGAACGTGTTATCTTTAGCATAATACTATATGGGAGTTAGTTTGGAAACCCAATGATGTATATATTCCATTTAAATATTGGAAAAAAAACTTATTTGCTGTAAGCTGTTCAATAGTGGAATAAACTTCTTGGGAGGATGGGTCTCTCTTTCTTTGAAGGTCTTTAAACAGAATTTGCATGGGGATGTTTCGGCAGAGCTTAAGTTAACATGGACTAGGTGCTTGTGCACAGCCCCTTCCGATTTTAAGATTTAGTGGTACTGTGATTCTATATAGGCCACTCTAGGATTTGAAAACAAACTGTACATTTGATGCATTCTCTTTCTTCTATCAGTTAGAAATCTGAGATATTTTCCACATTACCCAAAAAAGTCAGAATTATACCAAGTCATAATCATAGAATCAGAGTTGGAAGAGACCTCGTGGGTCATCCAGTCCAACCCCATTCTTCCAAGAAGCAGGAAAATCGCACTCAAAGCACCCCTGACAAATGGTCAGCCAGCCTCTGTTTAAATGAACCTGGATAGTCCAACAAAATAATTTCCCTCTTATATTCTATTTGTTTCATTGCACTTGCATAGAGTATGTTTTTCATTGAGGTAAACCAACCTTGCAATCCTTTTGAATTCAGAATCAGTGCCTAATTTGAAGGAAGGTATGGAGTTGTAATACATAGGACTGCACTTTTAAATTGATAGTGCAGTCCTATGCATGTTTTCTTGGATGTTCTGTTGTGTTGAACTGGGGTATAATTCCAGTGCTGCAAAGAGTGTAGCCTTTTATCTCCAAATATTGTGCATAGGTTTGCATTGCATATGAGTGTGGTGGTGACTTTGGCTCTGATTCTGTGCCGGTTGGTCAATTAGCCATATTCAACAGGGAAGTAGTCTTGGCTGAGATACTTCGTATCTGTGCCTCATCAGAAGATGCTAAAGTTGGTTCACTGGTGCCTAGATAAGCATTCTTATGATGGTATGATTGTACAGATTCATATACGTATTTTCATCATCTGCATATGCAGAAATGGCTGCTTTATTTGAATCCTTCCTACACTAATGCACTGCAAGATTTCTGCTTCATTTTATTGTTTTTTTGTGTTGTTGTCCTGCAATGTATTTGTACCTCACTAATAACCATCTGTTGGAGGTGGCCACAGTAGGGATGTATCAGATGGAAAAGAAGACATTAGGACCCCTTATTATTTTTATGTTTGTGATTTTGGACAGAATTCTCTGCTGCAGGTCTCATTAGTTTACTAATTACATTTGTCTAGGGTTTTTTTTTTGATAATTTGTTTTCTTGATAAACCATAATAATATTTTTATACACTTAGTTTCATCAGTCCTATCGTATTACTGAAGACAACAGCAAGATCAGTGACTAACAGATGAATGTCATAAAACATATTGTAAAAGAATGATTGTATAGAAACTTTTCTGTTGACAGAACCTTTCTGTTTATATCAGTTGCCATAAGAACATGCCCCCCTCCCTTTGGCTGTGTGGGCAGCCCACCATTTCAGCACTTTCTATGTTTACTTTTTTGTCTTTGGCAGATAGAACACACCCATTGTGCTTAATAAGCATGAAAGTAATTTGAGAAGGTGTGCAGGAGACCAGAAAAAGAAAGGATTTGGATTATATGAATCAAAAGCAAATAATTTTTCAAAACCATATTAGATCACATCAGAGACATGTCTAGACTAATATTATGTTCACACAGTGTCCAATCAGTTGCCTGAGGGTGTTCCATTAAAGCAGATTGAGGGTATTAAATGAGACCATCTATCTGCTTGTTTTTATCTTATCTGCAAGAGGAAATGCTTTTATGGGAGCGGTATTAGAAACACAGAGTGAGGCTTTTGTTTGGGATGACATTCTAACCAATTATACTATATTTGCATTAGTTGTTACCGGTAAAACTGCACAAAGGTTTCAAACTCAAAGAAGCAAATGACATATATAGGTACGTTAATATCTGGAAGGTTATGACACAGATAGATGCCATCAGTGTTGCATTGTAAGAGAAAATACTACATGTATAGCTTACTCAAGTGATCATGACTGTATCCCCAGCACTAAATAAAAACATTACTGATGTTTTTGAATCAGTTAAGAAGATAGATTACATTTACCTATTCTTATGAGACAGTATGACTCTGTTCCTGACAACATATTTCCTATTAATATGATGTAATGTAGATTCAATTATTCGTTTCTGATATCAGAAAATTTGAAGGTAACTTTTGTAATGTAATATTACATTACATTGTAATATGTAGTTCCTGTCCATATGCTGGATTTATAATTCATTCCCAGCTGCACCCATTCAATTTTTTATTACATGTTAATATATGCTAAAAACTATACTCAATATTTGCATAAGAAAATCTAGTACAGTTAAATTGAAACTGCTTGGACAAGCCTTCTTCAGATGGCTTAAATGTTTTGACCTTGTGCCATAGGCATTTGAGAGGTATTATTTCCTTATGAAACTATTGTTCTGTCATAACGGCTGTTGGCAATAAATCTAAAATGAAGAGCAGGTCTTCAGGGAAGTTTTTCTTAATGCATCCAATCAAGATTTCACCATGGATTACAAGAGGATGTAATAAAACAGATGAGGGAATTTCCCACCAGTATTGGACAGTCACACAAATGCCTACAGATTTGTAAAAGGGGCTAAATGCCACTCCAATCACTGGACTCAATGAACATATTTATAATTAGATCTTTTCCCCAGTGAACACTTATAATCAAAACACTGTGATTGCTGCCAGGCAACGATTTACTGGTAAAGTGCTTCACTTTTTGCAAGTTTAGCTGTTGATTCCAGGCATGTCTGTGTGTTTATGCTTTCAAGTCATCTGCCAACTTGAGGCAACCCCATGAATTTCATAGGGTTTTTCTTTTAAGGAATCTCATATCCAAGTAATAACCAAGGCTGACCCTGCTTAGCTTCCATGATCAGATGGAATCTGGTCCTTTGATCGTATTAAGCAACTGATCTCAGTCATACTTAAAAAATACAGAAATATCAATATGATTTAAAGCATACAGCCTTCCAAGGTCATTTACCCGGCCCTCGCTCAGTGTCAACCTACATCTGAAACTACTTGAAAGCACGCAACAACAATCTAATCTCATCAGCCAAAAGCACACCCACACTTCCCATTGAAATACTAATAAGTTTATATTTGTTAAAATTGTTCTTCATTTTAATTATAGTATTGTTTTAAGTGCTTTTTGCACTACAAATAAGATATGTGCAGTGTGCCTAGGAATTCATTCATGTTTTTTTCAAATTATAATCCGGCCCTCCAACAGTTTGAGGGACTGTAGCCTGGCCCTCTGTTTAAAAAGTTTGAGGACCCCTGCTTTAAAGCAATTAAGGCTGTAATTCAGTGTTTACATTCTTTAGCTCCACTGGAGAGCCAGCGTACTATAGCGCTTTAAGTACCAGAAAAAGACTCTGAGAGACCAGTTTTTAAATCCTGCTGAACCTTGCAAATGTACTGAGTAACATACTCTCAGCCTTAAAAGAAGGCAGTGACAACCTCTCTACACAAATCTAACCAAGAAAACCCATGATAAGGTCACCATCAATTGGAAATTACTTGTATGTAAACAGAAAACTGAGTAAACGGGTACTGTAAAGAAAGAAACTGATGAAACCATCTCAGAGTATTCCTTGCCTAAGAAAACCCTATAATGATTATAATAAAACTTTATTTGTATACCGCCCTAACTCCCTGAAGAAACTCAGGGCGGTTTCCAACATATAAAGCAAACATTAAATTGCTGGAAAGAAAACCATACAGACATCATTACATCAAAATAAACACATTTGACAATATAACACAACCTAATTTAACTTAACAAAATAACAACTAAAAGCATAAAATACCAAAATCCTGTCGAACACACTAAAAATAAAAATGAAAATATTAAAAACCATTTTCATTGTAGCTTTAACAAGTGACTTGAAGATTGACAAGTGACTTGAAGAAATATTACGAATTGGATGCCAAAGAAGGTGGAACCAGTCTGCTCACCAAATAGTATAAACAGTTTGCCATCATTAATTATTCATAAGACTGTAGCTCTTTTCTAATTAAGAGCAGAATGGTTTCAGAAACTCAGTTCTGGGAAATTAATAAACTCACAGCATGTCAAAGACTACAGTACTGAAACATCAAAGGATAAACCATCCATATTTGTCTTCAGAGTTTTAATTTGGATTCATTTTATTCCACCAGTGTAATAGAAGCACAGTAATAATACAGAGGATTGTACTTTTACTAAGGAGAGGAATGGAGAAGGAAAGGGGGGGACGGACGCTGAATAGTGATAAGTCATATTTTCAAAGGCAGCTACATGTTTTAATTTGTTTGTGTGTGTTTAGAAAAGGGCCCTGCTTCTTGTGCTCATTTTTGTTATAATGGCAAATTGTATTTTCAGGGTTTCTATATTTTGTGGGACAGCAACCTTGTATTTGTACAAGGTTGTATTGTAGTGCTTATCAAAGAACTGACAGGAGTGTTAAGTACTTTTAAAAGTCTACCAGTGAGGCTGCTTGAACAACAATAGTCATCTTTAAAAAAAAATGGGTAGCCAGGTGAAGGATTTGTAAGGATTCATAAAGAAGATTTATAAAGACTTTGCAAAGAAGAAATATAAGATTTCTACAAAAGTGGTTGTTTGTGTACAGTAAGATCTCATCAAACACATTCAACTGGCAGATGTTCCTTTTGTTTGGGTGTGTCTGTATTTTC